CTAAACAAAACATATAAAACACGTGTCTTGCACATCCTTCGCAGACGTTACTAAAACAGAAAACGCTATACAAGTTCTCTTACGTTTAAGCGGCGAACAGTTAAATTCACAAAGACCGCTGCCAGGCTTCGTTAATGTTCTTATTAACACATCTTGTAGAGCTTTTCAAGACGCATCGAAGGGTGTATTACACTAAGCTAAGTACTGTATAGTTGTGAAGAAATTTTGATTTTACCGTAATAATGATAGTGTGAGGGGGGGTGTTTCTCTGCGAGTATATTTGATCGTATACGTCCAATCTGAATCGTCCGAAAAAGTCGAAGGCACTGAATAAGATAAGTTTGATGAATTCTGAATAGATTGAGCCAATAAAATAGTAATAATTTAGTGGGCCGATTTCAAGCCTTATGCGGACTACTCCTTTATTTAGTCAATGTATAGTGTACTACCTCGTAGATCTAGTTATGCCAGATTTTGTGCCTCAAGTAGATAGTTCAAATAATACAAAATATAAAATATTCATTCTTTTCAGAAGCATTTTTAATTAGTATGAACCATCGCTCATCCACTTCATCTCGTGATCGAAATAATGCTAAAAATGTTATTAAATCGTCCAAAGAAACCACAAATTCACAAATCGTTCCTCGTTTTGATCGTGGTAATTTTGAATTAACAAAATTATTTCCAAACCAAACACTAGAAACAATTTTTCTACAATTATTAGTTTATTCATTATTGGATAGTCTATGTTTGAAATTGACAGATAATGATATCATAAAATCACAGTACATATTTCAATTACAAATTCATTTTTTACAAAATAGTAAATTGTTACCAACCACTGAAAGCACGAGTCAACAACGAATTTCTACTATAAGAGAGTTACCAGTATTTCAGGAATATAGGCGAGCATTAAAAAATGGGTACGATGATATTTTCTGTGTTTTATAACTTTGATTTTTACAGCCTTTCTTTATCTGTTCTAGTTTTCTTGGTGCCTTTCGTCTTTTGGAACAGACGCCAGCGATTAAATCATATCTCGAGCGGGAATATGAGAAAATAACGTTACCTCAATCATTAACATTACATGTTTCTCAAAAAGATATACAAAGAAGTATGCCTACGCATCATTGTTACCTTTTATGTTTATAATTACTTTCTATTTTATGTTTAGATATGCAATTAAAACAAATTCCAGTCACAAATGATTTTGATAATATTGTCATCTATCGTTATATTCATGACTTTTATGAAATTGATAAATTAGGACATGGCGCATTCGGTTCAGTTTATAAAGCAAAAAATCGTTTAGATGGAAAATTATATGCTGTTAAAAAGATTGTATTTAATGATAACTTTCAAACACGTACAAAAGCTATAAAAGCATTGAGAGAAGTACGATTTTTAGCATCGATTACTCATCCGAATGTCGTTAATTATCATTGTGCCTGGCTTGAACTTGTACCAATTGAAATAAATCGTCAATATAGTCATCAATCAGATGGTACTGAAAGCAGACAACATTTTTCAACAAGTGAAAATCAGTTTCAATCAGTTACTAATGAAAAATTGAATAATAAAAAAATTGAAAAAGAAGATTCATTAGATGATATGATACATTTTGAAAACTCATGTTCAAAACAACTATCGAAATCAACTGAATGCTTATCAATGGGAGAAAAACAACAACAAAAACCAAAAACATCGTCGACATCGACATTAGATAATATTGAACAACAATGTCAAGTAAGTTAATATAGAACAGTATTATACATATATCTAACCCATTTTAGAAGACATAATAAACTTGTGTGTGTGTTTGTGTGTCCCAACTCTAGTATGACAAATTATGAAATTGAAAAATATTATTTCATCTACTAACTCATTAGCCGAAACATACTTTTCTTTTCAGTTTTAGTATCGCCGAAACACTTTTTTTCCATAATCCATTAAACATATGAAGATGTTGAAGGTACAACTGTTAGTTCGCTGTTCTTGATTCAGTCAGAAGTCCTTGAATCTTGATTAGATCTTCTGGTTGTGTTACGCATAAAAATGAATTATGACTGTCCGAATATAACGACTAGTCAGAACATGCAACCGGACGTATTTTTTTTTTCTTTTTTTAGTTTTCTCATTTTAATATAGCCATGAAAGATGTTTATGGACGACTAGCAACGATGAGCGATTGCAAACAGCAAAAAAATTCAGCAATTAATAGTCATTCATTGTCAGATTCCACTTACTCTACATCCGCAAATCTTGATCACGATTTCTTCCTCTTGAATCATAGTTTAAATAAATCATTAAAACGATCTAAAACTAAAACATCAACATCAAAAGCATTAGCACTACTACCAGTAAACAACAATAATTATCATCCATCTCGTTTTCCAATTTGTACATCAAAAATTGTTTTGTTTATACAAATGCAACTCTGTGATACAACTTTACACGATTGGTTAAAACAACGTGATCGGTTAGTATAAATATTAACATTTTTTTCTTTGTTTTTTTAAAATAATAAATGTGTTTTATTTTTTCTTTAGTCGAATAATAAGTGAATATTCGTTCCATTCAATAAATGCTTTAGTCTGTCATCCTCATTTAAATAACAATTATGTGAAACAAAGTTGGAATATCTACAAACAATTATTGTTGGCAGTTGAATATATTCATTCACAAGGATTTGTACATCGAGATATTAAACCACGAAATATATTTCTTCAATGTAGAAAAGATGATGATTTAATCAATGTTAAATTAGGTATGTTAAATATATTTTGTTCTAAATAGTTATTTCTCATTTTATCGATCATTTTAGGAGATTTTGGATTAGCTACCATAGATCAAGCTGATTATTTATCTTTAATAATCGATGAAAACAATGGTAAACAAATAGTTCATCAATCAATGTCGAATGGAAGTGATGGTGGTGTTGGTACTGTCCTCTATGCATCACCTGAACAGTTAAATGGATCCGTATCAAATCAAAAAAATGATTGTTATAGTCTGGGAATTGTATTGTACGAACTAATGAATATATTTCAAACAGAAATGGAACGATATGGAATGTTAAATGAATTGAGAACAAAAATGAAAACTGATGATCATTTTCATGATATATTTCCATTCGAATCGAATTTAATTAAAAGTTTAGTATCGACTGATATTGCTAAACGGCCATATGCTAGTGAAATAATTAAACTTTACAATAGTAAATTGAATAAAGTAAAAAAAACTCGAAAACAAGTAGAAATAGAACAGTTGAACGAAACAATTAAAAGACAAAAAGAAACGATAGAATCTTTAGAAAATGAATTGAAAATAAAAAATGAATATATTCAAAGTTTAGAAAAAATTTTACAAAATAAAACAGTTCAAGAAAATTAGAAAATTTTTGATAGTTCTTTTCTTTTTTTTTACGGTTGATTTTTCTGACCATGTGATATTTATTTTTTTACATACTCTGGTATTTACTAAATCCCAAAAAATCTATGAACGTGTGAAAAGAAATCTAGTTATAAAAATATCTGAAGTCATCGTCAAAATCAAAAAAAACAAAAAAATTCGTGACACGATCGCGTAACACAATCACTATAAGACACGCGAAATACGACGCAATTTTTAGCGATCGTGGTTTTGTCTCGGATTCGTGCCATGACTACGCAAGATTTATATTAGTCATAGCGCGATCGCTTTTTTTCTCATCACGACTTTTATCGTTTCTTTGTTCAATAATTAAACTCTATCGATTAAAGTCAAGATCAAGACTAACACTTGCTAGCTTGACGAAGATAAATTAATTACCGAGATATGACTAAACCTTCGGTAACATACATGATTAAAATAACGTGGAGTTCATGAATGATTTCTCATTGTGTATCTCACATGCAAGTTGCTGTCATCATTATTAGTGGCAAATGATTTAGGTATCAATATTGAAATATCACTGTAAATTCTCTCTATCTGTCTATTTCGCTCAAAGGGTGATATTTTACAAAATACCAGTTACTGTTTCTGTACTGGAACACATTAAAGTATATATGTACAGCTTTTTCTGTTTGACAATGTCCATTAGACCGAAATATCACGTTTTTTAAAAGAAAGTCATAGATTTTAAAATTACTGTAGTATCAATTGAACTTATATTGAAACTATTGCTCTGTAATATAACAAATACTGAGAAATATCACTTTTTTATTAGTCTTTTCCTTGAGAGAATCATGTCCTGTAGGCAAACTATGAGAATAGGAAGTTGTTGGAAGAATGTTGTTACGTTTGAAAACAAACTATAGTCATCCTTCAGCATTTATCTCGCTCTGTTCTTACCAATTGTGAAACATCGTCAGACATTTATTCGTGAAACTATTCGTTAACATGTATTCATGACTGTTGATTTGGAACAGCGTACAGTCTGTTTGTCAGAGACCCGTTTTAGTCCGAGAAGAAGATATGTCAAAGATCAAATGAAATACCTTGCCAATGGGACGTCGCAGAAGCGTTTTCTTATTCAGTTTTCACATGGCGAAAAAGAAAAATGTGGTTTGAAATTTTCAAATTAAAACCAGTATTCAAAAAACCAAAGTTACTGAAAATTAGTGATTTTTTGATTTTACAGTCTACAAGTTTTTTCAATTTTTTGACCCTTAAAGAAGTTTTTTAAAGATTAAAAAGACATATTCTTAATCAGCTCGATGTGTCCTATCCAACTATGTATAAATAAACGAAAATAAAAATGGTGCTGCATTTTTGCATTAGTGGCACCTGACACTTCTTTCTCATTAGCATATCAATACAATTTGTATTTGTTTAAAAGCAAAAGAAAGTCAATTTGAGGGTATATTTCATTCAAAATGTCTCAAATTAATAGGCTTCCGTCCACGTTATTAAAGAGAAGATTGTAAGTTACTTTCTTTCAACATGAAATTCAATATATATATATATATATATATGTCATTTTAGAAATTAGAAGTCACATCCGTGATAAATAACGGTAATAAAATAACATTGATTTTTCCTTACCGTAAGTCATCATACGAAAATCAATATTTCTTTAGAGTTAAGATATTCGCTTATCAAATAAACGTTTTTTTAAAAAAGTAAAAATAATCATTTTTCAAAAAATTTTGTTCGATATATGTATCTGTAAACTTTGTTTTTTTTTTGTAACACAATTACAGTAACATGACGCAGAAGTAAGTATTTCAAAGACGATACCGGAGAAAAGACACATGGCTATCATTATTACAAGACCCTTTTTATATCTTTCTACGATACCATTATATTATTTGAATGTTCGAAATCTTGTTTTTCGTCATTCTTATCAATCTGATCGAGTAAAATAGAGATAATGCAAAAATAGATTTCGATGCTGAATCTTAGATTAGTATACATCTACATAGTCTCTGAAACAAAAGATAATTGCTTTTTACATTTATTTAAGAACTGTATTTGAAATTGAGTACATTTGATTCCAAAATGGGTACTTACGAATTAGATGGAATGTAAGCGAGATAGTACAGTTTAACTTAGCTTACTGGACTGAAAAGGAACTAAAACTTTATTTGGAACTTGCTTCTATCTATGCGTCTTGCTTGCTCGATACAAAATATAATAACTGTTGAACTGGTTGACAACCGAGATTATTTCAAAATTTGCTGGAAATTTTTTTTATTCTGATCTGAATTTTGACTGCTTGATATGCATAGAATACCAGAATGTTGAACAAGCGTTGAATTTCTTGCTTTCCTTCTTTTCCAGTCGAACTAGTTCTTTGCATTTCTTAGCTTAAGCGCTTACGCTAAGACATATAACAATTCCAGAATTCTTATCACATTTTTTCTTGCTTTTTTGTATGTCGTGGAGCAAGAAGGTTCTCTAGAATTCATAAAGACTTTAACAGTTCAATCAGGAATTCTAGCTCTTACTATACATTGTTAGTTGTCCTCATAGTATGAATGGAATCTCTTTCTTTTTTTTCTATAGGTCACAACGTAAAATACGTACAAAGGTTCGTTTCGATCGATCGATCACAAATTCTACTGCTGATTCGGACGAAATAAAAGGTAACTCTTTTGATTAGTAGTATAAACGTACAACACTCTCTAAAGCTTTATTTAACATTATCTACTTGTTAATGCCATACAATGTTGCACTTGACATTAGTATTGAAAGAGCGTCCCCTCACACTCTTCTATACATACTCAGTAGCTGTGGCATTTTTCTCGTTCCCTTGTCTATTGTTTACATATTGTTATTTTTCTACACTTATAAAGACAGTTCTCACTTTTCTTCTTTTCTTTCATTTTACTTTCTTTCAATTTTATATATACGTTTAACTATGGATCTTCCGAATTATATTTGATGAACGCATACACAAACGCATCCATCGTTGACCTACTTGAAAAAAATGAAGAAAAATGTAGAAAATTATTCTTTAGTTGAATCGTTTAAAATGACACATTACCGTTACGTCTGTCTAATTTCATTTTCTTTTCTTTTTTTTTCAAATGCTTCCTTCTTTTCATGTTGTTGAAAAAACAATTTTTATGTACACAAATTTCACATTATTATTGCATAGTTTCAATGGCAACCATTCTCTCCATTGCTAATTATATCGTTTATTTTATAACACAATAATTAAAATGACATCAAAAACGAGAATTAAATCGACAACGGGCAATGCACCAAATAAGAAGGGTGATACAGGTAATTTGCTCACGTCAATTCTTCTATTTAACTCAATTTTGACATAATTGTCATGTTTATCGAACTTTTCAAAGCGTATGAAATTAATATCAGAAGAAAAGACCAGCCCATATTGTTAAAAAAACTATTGAAAGTTAATTGTTGTGAAAGAATAGGAAATGAGTTTTCATGAAGCATAATATTACAGAATACGAACATTTAGAATGATAGTTCATGTTATAATGTGAACAGTTTATCTCAGTCTGTATGTTTTATAATAAATCTGTTTTGTTTGGTAAAGTATCTCTTTCTTTGTTAAATGTTCCATCTCATCTCCCTGTGGAAGGTGAGACAACAGTTGTGCCATTATTTGCTTATTTTTTTCGCATTTCATACGGTATCAGAGAGAGTATGCATGTGCTATTCTAGTTTAGCTCAAATACTCTATTATTTTATTCAAAATTAATGTTTAAAGATTGAATATTTGGAATATGTAGCACAATCCTTGATTTGTAAGGAAATGTTTTAAAATCTTAATTTATTGATTCTTATACAGAGACCTTATACATTTGTAACAAAAACAACTCCAAGGTTCTCTGATTCCTTTCTGGAGTATTATTCATTCAATACTTCTGAATATTTTAAAGTTCAAGAATGGTTACGAAAGAATGTATTGTACAAGCTTCTTGATGATTTCATGAGTAAAAAGCATGATCAAATGAACTGTTTTTGTAATTGAAATAATTGAAACTCGCATGTGCTTATATAAACGTGATTGGTTCCTATTCCATTTAGAGCCCTATCATTGTAAAGGAAAGTTTTTGGATGATTTCGAAGCGTTATGTCGTCAAGCACAAATAACATTTATCGTACCGGTTGTTCAACGACCACGACCACCAGGTACTCCAATCAATCCTGTAGATCCAAAAGAAAAAGCAAAAACAGCTAAAACGAAAGAGAAAGATGTTCATGAAGTAGAAGAACCGCCCAATGGTATGTGGTTGCGATAAATGCTTCGTAGAAGAAAAAAAAAATCAATTTTTGTGTTTATAGATGAATCTCTACCAAAAACTTATTCATTGAAAGATAATTATGAATATTTCAAGCCAAAAATTCAAGTTGAAATGGATAACCCCGATAAACAAGAGACAATTACAGAAATTCATATTCGTACGTTCAAACTTTATTTATCACATCAACTATATTTGTTTTGTGTTTTTAAAGGAGCATGGAAAATCGATCGTGCGACATTAGAAATATTCCAGCAAAGTTTTCCAACACTAGAACGTTTAAATACCCTTAACTTTTGGCATACGGGCTTTACTGATGAAACACTGGCTCAATTAGCATCATTACTCCCTAAATGTCCAAATTTAAAAAACTTAATATTAGATTCGAATCCGTTAACGAATGAACGTTATGATGTGCTTCTCACAGACGATACTATTAGTATCGTTAATTTATCGTTGCGCCATTGTCGGATTACCGAACGTGGCGCAGCTCATATCAGTAATGGTCTAGGGAATGAACGACGCCAGAACTCAAAATTACAAACATTAAATTTAGGCTATAATGAAATTGGAGATGCGGGTGCAGAACAAATAGCAAAAGTATGAGAATTGATATTTTTTACTAGCAATATACACGTTCTACTTATCTCTTTTCTAGGGTTTAAAATTTAATCGCACATTATTAGTACTTAACTTGAGCAGTAACGATATTAGTGATAATGGAAGTGAAAAATTAGCAGCCGTACTCAGTAAATTTCCATTAAGTCGTGAAGAATTACTCTATCGACGACAATTATTATTACATTCAGCAATATCAGAAAGTGTACCAACATTGTCGGCAAGGAAAATAAATGATGGTGTACGACGTAATAGTCTGACATCTCCAACAACACAGAGGAAAAAATCAGCGGCAGCCGTAACACTACCAACGAAAAAAGGAAAGGTAAATGGCTTAGACATTAGTGTGAAATTTGAAGTTTGTTATTATTAAAATTTGTTCGAATAGATTCATCAGGTTTCTCTGTTTTTAAGCCTGATGCAGTGAAAGAACAACCAAAAGCCAAGAAAGATGACAAACCGGCGAAAAAAGGTACACGATCTATTAAAAATATTTAGTAAATTTTAAATGATGGAATATTTTTTAACATAGGAGCAACTGTTGCCGAAACCAAACTGGCGAAAGGAGCAAAACCATCCGATAAAAATGCAAAACAATCAAACAATAAAGGACTTCGTTCAGCGACACAGAGTGAAGTGGATGTTAGTATTCAAAATTTATTTTTTATTTTCTCTTGTCTTACGGCAAATATATTTAAATTGGTATATTCGGTAATCAATTTCAATATTTTAGAGTGATGACAAGGTTTGTATGAAATTTTTTTGAGAGATGGTAGTTTGCATGCAATTTCTTTCATTAAAATATAGATCCTTTTTGATTGTCTATGTGCACGCGAGAAAGTTTGAAATTAGTTGATTATCACAGAATAATAATGACAGATCTATATAATATATTTAAGATCTTATTTGTTATAATCAAAAATATACATTTACTTATTTAGTACATAATCGGTGATGGTATGCCTTTATTAGATCAAAATGCTGAATTGATGAATAATGATCTTGTACTGCCTGGCAATCGATGTTTATTGAGTTTAAATTTATCAAGTATGTTGATGTGATTATATGATTGACTATATACACTCTAAAAAAAAAAGTGTACCCAAAACTGTTCCTTTTAGGAACCGCTTTTTCGCTGAACACTTTTTGGAAAGATCACTTCTAAAATGGCCACCACAAGAACACTTTTGAAAAGTAATCTACAGTAGAACACTTTAGAAAAACAATCACTTTCAGAACAAGCGAGCTGAAGTGCTAAAAGTGTTTCAAAAAAGAACGTTTTTTGAAAGTATTCCTTAGTGTAGCATTTAGAAACCGCTTTAAAAGAAAAACGTGGAAAATAGGAACCGTTCTTTTCAGCTACGCATTTTTTTTTACAGTGTAGGCTTACTGTTGTTGTTCGTTTTATTTCCAGAAAACAGAATTTCTGAGACGGGTGTTAATCACTTTCTGAAAGCAATACAATATCAAGAAATGTTTATAAAATTAAATATATCACGTTCTACAACTTCACCACTACAAGGTTTACTTCGGCTTGAATTACAGGTACTGTAGATTAAAATGGTGAGAATAGTGTTCATGTCATGTTATATTATTTCATTCAAAACTTTGATATAGTTTTTCTATTTTAACTTTGGTATTTTATGTTGCTTTAATTTAAGCGAAATGATTTTCAATTGGATAATGATTATTATGTGAAATTACAAATATTATTAAAAAATCGTCTTGAACCAATATTTAAAGGAAAAGAAACTGAAATCGAATTAAATGGACGAGAAACGGTTGGCAGTGTGAAAGCAAGAGGTTGATATATATACTGCACGATTTCCTTTTGTTGTTACTTTTCTCTGTGTGTTCCGACACATTATAACCAAACGAGAGAGATGAGAATCGTGATAGTGAGTAAATGTACGAGAGATTCTATCAGCTGCTACTTTTTCATCGCATGTGCTCTTTTCTACCATACACATACACATACATACATAAACACACACACACACATCTATAGCAGTAAAAAAAAATAATCTTATCAATATTTGCACAAATAACCAGTTTCTTTTCTCTTACTATTCAAACAATACACCTGAGTTCATTGTTACAAACACAGAATTTATACATTTTCACAATCTCGTCACAAATATGCAATTTTAAGAAAACCGCGAACATAAAATAGTACTCAAAGACAATAATCTTCCTTATCAAGATAAAATTGTGCAGAGGTATAGGATTAACTCTTTTTTCTAAAGCATGGAAAATTTCATTATATTTCACCTCGGATTTGTAACAAATGGCACGAAATAAAGAAAGGAAAAGTTTTTGTTACACGAATTGTTACTGCATGTGGTTTACTCACTTCAAATAAAAAAAATTAATTAACAAACATTCGTATAATTAGTTTTAATTATTTTTTTTATTCTAGGGGTGAGACATTAGGAGAAATAATTATTCGATTGCTTCCAATCAAATTAATCCTTTATTTACATTGTGATATTTTGTAGGTTGTATATTTTTTGATGTGGTTCGACTTTTCTTGGTTAAATAAATATAAAAATAGATATAAATACATTGATTACAACTCATAATACGGGAATTGTTGTAATCGAGTACCACTAACAAACATGACCAATTGTCAGGGTATATTAGTTTTGAACTAATCCTAAGATATGCAAAGATTTATGAAATGTAGTCTATTATGCATCTAAAACAAATGTCATAGAACTAAGGATCAGTCACTTGAATCGAATATTGTTTTCGCATCTCTAATATTACTACTACATCTAGCTTTGAATCCTCTTCGTGCAACACATTTGATAAACCCTACTATTAAAATCTAACTTTCTTAATGGATTCAGATCTAACGGTAATAAGAGTTTGCCATTGTGTTGTAGTTTCGATATTCTGTCTGTGCTAATGGCGCTTGTTTGACCAGCTTTCGTGATAATCTCACAAGTATTATCTCAATGTGATTATCATCACAAAAACTGGCCTTCAGTGAGCGTAATTTAATATTCGAAATTGAGAATAAAATAACTAAACAAAAAAGAATTATGTTTAAAATAAAGAAATGAACTAAACGAGTTCAAAATAGATGAAAGATGACAAACTTTATGGAAACATCTAAAAGTGATGTGAATACTAGGATCAATTTATTTAAAAATTTTCCATTATCTTACCTTTGATAGCATATAATATTCTTCACAGCTACATTCCATATTAAAAGACAATAAATACTTCTTTTTTAACTTTGGTTAACTTTATTTCGTGTATGTGTACACGCAACTACCAAACGTATACCATCAGCAATATATAATATATTCAGTACAAAAATTTTTTTCTCAAACTCGACTTTCGTATATCACTATCACTCTTTTACACTCGTACTTTCTCTCTCCATCTATATTTATTCTCTATAAAAGTCGAAAGAGGCTAAAGTCTTATCTTAAGTGCAAGATGACAACGTCTACAGTTTGAAAATAGAGGAGATTTCGTTTTTCTCTTTCTTCTCTCTTCTCATTTTTTTTAACTTAAAACAGTAAGATAGGCTTCGTGTGTGTGTTTTTTTTGTTGTTGGTGGTGGTGGTAGTTGAGTTATAATATAATCATTTGAGTCATCACCGTTATATTATTTATTATCATCAAAAACGGTGTATTCTTTCTTTCGGTTTCTTTTGGAGAAGTATATCGAAACATGTGTAATTGAATAAGTACGAAAATTATGCAAAAAAAAGCAGAGAGAAAGAGAGCAAATAGACTCTCTCTGACGATGATCAGGATGTTAATGATGAAGCTAATGATAATCATACTATAACACTAGCAACAGGTGAAGAAAGAAAGAGAAAAGAAGGTTAATAATTTTTTCTTGCACGAAAAATGGAGAAGAAAAAACGAAATAGATAAGTGTGTCATACGTGATGATATTTACTCTTAAAAAATTCATTTAAGTATCGTCAACAAAAAGAGAAAAGACGGAAGCATTGAAGTAAATGAAGAGCAATTGAATAGCAGAGCTTTGATTCATCAACTACTTTTTACAACTGGAGAAAACTGCGTTTGACCATGTGCTATATCTCTAAATGTTTTGTTTCTGTTATTCAACACAATATATGCAAGAATATGAATATCTTTGCCTAAAAAGAATCGTGCTCAATGATGATATCAAATGTTTTAATAAATTCAGTACAAATATGATGTCTTTATTACTCGATGAAAAGCTAAAGACTTTTTTTTGCTTTTTTGAGAACAGTGTTAATTTCTCCTCAGATCAATCTACCATATAAATGACTAGATTTGCAATTAATTATATAAACTTTTATATTCTTGTAAAAACCTCGTACTGGATGTCGAATATTTTTTTTCCCGCATCTGGGAAAACGAAACATTTCACCTTCTCTCATAGGACAATCAGGATACGACCTATAACTGTCTTGTTTAAGTACAAAAAATCATCGAAAAAAAAATTTCGTTGCGCTGTTTGATGCTTTAAGTAGATAGTAAAAACAAATAGTAAGAGTTTAGTTTTGTTCGCAAGAACTAATGGTAATTCCTTTCAACATACAGTCTGTCTGTTATATGCAATACTATACTGTAATACTTCTGCATGAGAAATAGAAAGAAATAAAATCACTCTGTATTTTGTTTTAGCTCACTCTCTAACTGAGCCTTCAGTGAACAAGATAGCTTGTTTGCATCATGTTCCCGAAGAAAAAACCGGGTAAAACATGGTGAAAGTAGTA